ACACACACACATAATCTGAAATCAACAACACTGAAGCTTAAGCTGTTTTGTGTTGTGCTGACACAGGTGCTTCTTCGGCACTGTCCTCAGCTCCGTGCGGTTTTCTTCCCTGACCTGCGCCTCCTTGCGCGGGTGTGATGTAGGTCGAGAAGTCAGGCAGCAGCTAAGTACATCTAGTGACTAGGCCATCTGGCTCTGCCCTGACTGATCGATACAACCGTGTTTGCAGCTTGCCAACCAGCCTCTTCTGGCGTGAAATCGTTCACAATGTTGAACTGCTTCCGAATCTCCTTGATGGGATGCGAATGGCACAGCACAAGCAGCAAAAGGAACCAACCCTCCCAGTCTCTCTATCTATCACCCCAATCTGCTAAAATGAACCACGCAGTCCTCTGTGTTCTTGCCTTTGATCATGGAAGCTACCTGGCCGTTAACAAACGCTCGCACTGCCAACTCGCTAATTACCTTGCTCTGCACCTTAGCACAGGTCAAGTCCAGCAGGCTCTTGATGTCCAAATAGTTGGCTGCAAGAATCAGTTCAAAGAGGACCTGACGATCTAAATGATGCAACCGTGATACGGGGGTTGTTCACTGGTCATGGCCTCCTGCTCAATGTTCACGTACTCGTTGTCCCATTCGGATACGCCACACCTTGCAGTGTTTGACTTAGGGACAGCCTATGTGAACATTGCGCCAATCAAATGAATCTGCAAACGAGTCGCTCGACTAAATTGGTGCTCTTCAAAGGCTTCTGAATTTCCTCTGGGGGACTGTCCTGCATGCAGTTTCAAAAATATGTCTCAAACTCCATCATACTCCCTCTATCTCTATCGCTCAAGTGGCGGCGGATTCTAGATGTTTTATGGTTGGCAACCTTGTGGTACTTGCAGTAGTCGATGACCTGTCAAAACGTGCCAGGTCATCGTTTTGCAAACGCGGGGGCGTACATGAGTTCATTCATATCTTCTGCACTTCTTCGGGCCTTGCTGAGGATGGCTGTCTTGACCTTAGGAAATGGAATGCCTTTACTCGTGTTGCATCATCATGATGTGATTTTGGATGGGCCTACGGCCTTCTGATTGCTAAATGGGCCTACTTAGAGACTCTCTGTGCTCTCTCTCTCTCTCTCTCTCGGTGCGGCTGCCTTCCACTCTATGATCACAGCCTCCTCCTTTTTAGCATAGTTGGTTTTGAGTGACATGACTCAGGCTTGGACGTTAGGCAACGGGATCTCTTCATCAGTTCCACTGTCGTCCACCATGTTTCTGACCAGTGTTGACATACAGGCCACCTAACATGTGAGCGAACACATGGGCAGGCATACCCGGGCCTAAGGGTTCATCATTAGAGTTTGACTGGCTTGACCGCTCGACTCTATATATAATATATAATTCTTTACCGGGCAAAAGACCCCAATCAGTGTTGCATGAAAATAGTGCGTGAGAACGACTCACATCTGTCCAAAGTCTCATGTCGGAGACCTAGAGGTCTTGGGATCCGGAGGTCCAGAGTTCCAGAAAGATCTAAAGGCCAAGAGATCCAAAGGTCTTCAGGTCTTGAGATCCAAGAGATCTGGAGGTCTGGAGGTGTATACGCAGACGTCTCCAGGTCTAGGGATCAGGCTCTAGAGGCCTAAAGGTCTGAAGGCCCCTAGATGTCTAGAGTTCTTCTGGGGATCCAAAAAGATTTTAAGTTTAAAGATCCAGAGATCTAGAGGTCTAGAGACTTGGAGGATCAGCGGGAGTGGTTTCATACATTTCTGCTAATGTATGCAGTTGGGTGGGGACTGGTGTTGAAAAGGTGTTTCCAAACAGGGGGGTTGAACATAGAGAAAACATGCTTCAATACTGAATATATGGAAATAGCAAACATGTCTTTTGCTCCTTTGGTGTCTCTGGAAACAACGTTTTCGGGATATGTATGAACGGCGGGGGGTGGCTCAAAACCTGAATGTATGCACAGGGGGGACGTACTCACCTAGGGACCTCTACATTTTTTGATGCAGTTACGGCGGCTATTGTATGAACAGGGGGCAGGGCCAACAAAAATCTCACAAGATGCATGAAACAAGGGGAGGGACAGGTCTGGAGCCTAGGCCAAATGTATGCACACCATGGGGTACAATGCTGCAATAGCGGCAATCACGAGTAAACATTATAAAGATTGTGGGAGGGCCTGTGGGCTCCTGAGGGTGATTTTTGAATTATATTGTTCATTGATTTCCAAAGGTATGCACACCATGGCGGTCCCTGACTCTTTGTATTAATTCTTAATATTTTATTGTTGGTTCATGTGAGTTGCGATGCTTTCTTGTTAGGAATTGTATGCGGTCAAGTCGGGTGGGAACCCCCCTCAGGAAGGATGATTTGCTCAAGGAAAAGGTAATATATATATATACAAATATAATTCTATATATGTTAAAATGATCGTGTCTTTGGGCTTCTGGGGGGAACGATGGAGAACGCGCGCATATGCCCTGGTATGCACTGGCTGTTTTGTATGCTGGCTGGGGGCTGCAGGGCCACGGCCCACCCCAGGCAAATTATCAAATTGTATGAACCCAACAGTTTGTAGAACATCCTCGAATATTATGGAAACTGCAAAGCATGGACAAAACGCACCCTTTTCTCAGCATAAACGCTTGGGCCACTTCATTGGCCATGTGAACCATGAAGGTGTGGTGAGGTCAAATGTTTGACACTCCACCTGAGCATCACCATGTAGTGAATGGTGACGCTCACCTAGACCTCACCGGTCTCTCTAAAGCGCTGCAGCCGCATCTCCCAGTCGTCTTCCCATTGATTGCTTACCACAATCACTGCAAACTGCGCAAATCCTGTCCTCTCATTTCGGTTCCAGCTCAGGATATGATCAAAGGCCATGTGAGGGAACATAGCCGAGTGCTCAGCTGCAAGCCTTGTGCGCAAAAACTCTTTCAGCAAATGGTCGGGGAAAATCTCCGCGTCCTTAAGCCTTCGAGCACGCCTCTCCTGGGCATCATCTTTCTGATACCTCAGGAGTGTCTCCATGTCCCACCAATCCGCATTCACTGGTGGGTGACTCCGATCAACCTCGCCAGATGATCTTTCTTCAGAGGAGCCAGAAGGAGCAGAGAACATGGTGATGGATTGGAACCCAGATGTGGGAAGAATGCAGAACTATAGGCTGCTAGATGATTCAGATGATGCCTACAGTGGTGAAGAATACTTTCTTCGAACGCCTGGAGGAAGCCAGAGGAGAAGGTACAGAAGGACAAATTCTGAGAGAGAAGCTGATGAAGAAGAAGAGGAAGTGGAGCGAGAAGGTGATCTCCTGGTTCAAACTCTTCTTCTTCCGGCTCTGGTTGTTCTTGTCGAGAATTCGCATCTGCCGGTGCATCATTTGCCATAACTCCTCCTTCTCTCATCTGAACATTCAAGATCCTGTCAGGATCAGCATCTTCTCTTTTCAGGGGTTCAGGCCATGGTGGTCGAGGTGCTTGTTGCCATTCTCCACCTCCATCTCTATTGACCATTGTCCTCATGACCAATCCTCTGTATCCACGGTAGTCTCTCAAAGCTTCTTGATGGTCTTGTTCACGCTGTAGCTCCATAATCCTCTCCTGTCGAACAAAGCGGGCCAAAGTCCTCAAGAATATGCCCACTCGCAGTCGATAGACATAGCCACAGCAAATGCCAAAGGCAAACACCAACAAACTGTAGGCGATCACCATCACATAGCCTTCCCAACCACCAGCCTTCGTGTACTGCTCATTCTTCTCCTCCTGGCCATCAGTACCTTCACCTCCAAAAGCAACAGGTTGGAGAAGCAGCAAAGTCACCATCTTCACCATGCTCGTGGGTATCTTGGAGGTCAAGTTGGAAGTACCTTCCATCACTGCATTCACCATCTCTCTCTTCACCTGCTTCATCTGCTTAGCCATGACCTTCTTAGCAACCTCTTGGTTGAAGGTGGTTTCACCAACTTTCGAAAATACCTCATCACTATCCTCCGCATGGAACTCCACCAGGCCGATGAGGTACATCAAAAATTATCTTCTTGATTTGCTGAGCCGTTTGGTTCCAAGATCAGCAACATTCCACAAGGTTGGGATGCTAACCATGACCATGGTCTCCTTCTTGATCTCCAACTGCATCCACAAGTACCTTGTGTCAATGTGTTTGAGCCTTCCAACACCCAAACGCTCGCTGAAGGCCTTACACGAGCTGCTATCTGTGATAGCTCTGATCAAAACAGGCGTCTTGCTCAAGAACGTCCAAAGGTCCTTCACTTGGAGGGCTTCTGCACTTCCTCCAGCAGCTGCCAAAAACTCAGCTTCGCATGAGCTCAAAGCAATGCTTTTCTGAGAGCGTGACCAGCTTGTAATCAAGCAACCATTCAGGAACATGAAGGTTGAGCTCACACTATGTCGTCGTTTCTTGCCACTGCTCTGGTCACCAGCCCAATCGCTGTCGCTGAAGCTCTCAAGCAAATCTGGGCCATGAAGTTCCTCCGCTTGTCCAAGGATCTCTGCTTTCTTACTCCTGCACCGTTGATACGGGAGTAACAGCCCATAGCCTTCAGTTCTCTTCAATTACAGTATGAGGTGCCTCACCTCTGCCTCTGCCAAACGGGTTGGTTTGGCCATGAACTGACTCAAGTTGCGAACTGCATGTTGAATGTCAATTCTATCTTGGCTGATGTACAGCAGCGTTCCAAGAGCGGATCTGAAGCGGAACTGATCTTCTCCTTCAAGACAATCCTCAGGGCCTCCTTCCAAATTCATCTGGGTGCTCTCTGGAGTGGCTCTTCCACTTCTGTTCTCCAGGTGATACAGCTCCACCAAACTTGGGATGTACTTCTCATGCGGCATGATCACCAGGCCACTGGACGTGAAGAAGTGCCTTTTCTTGAGGCATCGGACTGGCTCTTCTTCAGATTGTCCATCCTTGGGCAGAATCCCTGACTCACTCAAAGTGAACCTCTTCCTCATGGCGTCCAGCAACCATTCAACACACTCCAATTCACCTGCTACAATCAGGTCATCAACATGACATACGGCTCCGAGAGGCTTTTCTTCATGCCGGAACAAGGAGGGCAAACTTGGATGATGTCGGAATCCAAGTTGTTCAAGGTGATCTGACAAATGCCCATACCACCTGGCCGCAGCATCACGCTGACCTGGCAAACACTTCAAGAGTGTCCAGAACCTCTTCTGTCCTGGCACCAGGGCTTCCAACTCCTCAGGCTTCCACCACTGTGGCTTCTCCACCAGCACAAGCTTTACCTGGTCAACCAGAAGGAATGCATCTTTCACATCAATGAAGGTGAGCTTCCATGCCAAAAGCGTGTGGCTTGCCATCAACAATCTCGTGGCACTCAACGATGAAGTGGGAGCAAAAGTTCTGGAATTGGAACTATCTCCTGCTCGAAACTCTCGAGCTACAAAGCGACACCTCCGCTTCCACTTCTCGTCCCGAAACCTCCAATCATACACTGACCTGGTCGTGAGGATCGTGCCTTCTTCCACTTCCTCTGAGGTTGGCTCTCTGAGAACACCCATCTCCAACAGGCGTTGAATTTCCTCTTGTCCTGCTTCTTCCTCCACCTTCATCAATTCCTCCTCATCAAGCTCTGGAGGACAGCCTTCATCTTCTTCATCAAATCCTCCTGGAAGTAGATGCTCCTCATCTGCCTCAAAGTATTCTTCAACCTCCTTCTCCCACGCCTCATCATCTACTGGAAAAGAGGCTTGGTTCACGCTACCGGCATAGTAAGGTGCATACACCTGCTTCGGACTTTCTTCCGGATCTCTTCGGGCTACCTTCGGGATAGGCTGTGATGGTCCATCTTCATCTTCCATCATCTCCTCACGCGAGCCTGACCTCTCTACCTTTGGCGTCTGAGGTGCTCTTTCACCAACATCATCTAAACCCAGTGGAAGCGGCGGCACACGGAGGTACTTTCCTCCTCTCACATCTTCTGAACTGCCTGAAGCCTCTCTCTTTTCTCCTCTCTCCTCATCTACCTGTGGACTTTCCATGCCACCATGTTCTCGTGCATAACGTTCAACATCATCTGCATCCTGATCACGAGGAAAGTCCTCGTCTTCTTGCACATTCACTGTTGCTTCCTCATTCTGCTTCTTTGGCCTTCCTGGTCCACGAACACCTTTTGGAACCATAGGAGTCGCTGGCATGATCCGCAAAGGAGGTCTTTTGGTACTTGGATTTCGAAAGGGTTTGTCCTTCACCAAGAACAAATATGTGGGCCTCCAAGGATCACTTGTTCTTCTGATGGCCT